AAAAAAAGAAAAGAGGGGAAAAAAAAAAAGAAAGTTGGGGGGAAAGAAAAAGGAAAAACACTACCGGTAGGAAGATCCTGCTTGGGATACCTACCGCTTGAACATAGGGCCTGGAAATATCCCCATGCAGCACTTCGCTTTCAGGCCATCCCTTTCAACAGAAGAGCCAGGCCAACAACAGAACATCAGGAAGATCCTGCTTGGCGAGGGGTAGAGCGAAAGGGGGGAGGTTGGGATAGAGGAGGGGCCGGGGGGGGGGAGGGAGAGAAAGGGTGAGGGTGGGATAGAGAGTGGCAATAGAGGATTCTGGGCAGCAGACCGTTTTATGACACCTGATAAGTAGGGGTGAGTGCAATTGCATGCGCAGCACATGACATCTCATTTATTTTTTCATTTTATATTCTTAAGACATGGCAACTCGTTTAATGACACGCCAGAAGACGAAGACGAAGAAGAAGAAGAGGGGGAATAGGGGGGGCAGGGTGGCGCGGGGGGGAGGAAGGGGGGGGGGGGGGGGGGGGATTCTAAATGCATCAGCCCCTGAGACAGTCCCCCCCTCCTCCCCCCCGCGCCACCCTGGCCCCCCTCCTCCCTCCTGCACCACAAGGACAACAAGAAAGTCGTTGGGTGGGAGGATTCCGTGCGCATCATGACCGAGAGAAGAAAAGGGAGACGAGGAGAAGAAAGTTGTGGTAGAGGGGATTCTGAAGCGAGTGGCACACTTGATGACCTGATGAAGACGACCACGAACGACGACGTGCAGGAGGGTTATAAGGAACGATTCTTACCGCACCTTTCGGTGGAGGCGGAAAAAAAAAAGGGAAGAGGAGGAGAGGAGAAAGTGGCACTTGACGACCTGATGAGAACAAGACTAAACAGATGAGAATGGTTGTCGAGGACGATTCGAAGCGAACCATGTAGTCGCATATGACCAGCCAGAGGATGCAAAACAAGGGAGGAAGAGGGGGTGACTGGACCTGGACTACCGTCTTCACCCGAATAGAACGCCCGGTCACTATAGCCGTATTTGGTGCACGTTTCAGTCCAGATTAGGCTATAATAACCGGGCGTTCTATTCGGGTGAAGACGGTATCGATTCAAATCTCAGCACATGAAGGAGACCAGGAAAGACTAACGATTCAATCTCAGCACGTGGCAGCATCAGCACATAATCGAGGTGCGCTGCACCGGAAGGAGTTGATGGGTTCGCGGTGAGCGTAGATTCGAGCCGTGCTAACAAACAAAAGCGCACAAGGAAGGCTATGCGGAGGAGGAAAGGAAAAATACCAAAGTGTACAGGCAGGACTGTGTGGCCAAGGAAAGGCTTACCAAAGCGTACAGGAAAGATTGTGCGACAGTAAAAAAAAGAAATACCAGACCATAAGGGAGATCATGACCTCGCACTACCTGACTCGACCTTTTGGCTGCGACAAAGTGCAGTACGGATGTGTGTGCCTGCTAGGAAACCCGCGCACGATGGGTCTGAGGGCATACTCACACTAGGACCTTTTTTCACTTATTTCTGGACGTAGTTGCGGTCACATGCATCCCAGGAGGGCCGCAATTACGGTCAGATACATTTAAGATTAAGATTGTGCGAGTGTGAGTATGCTCTGAAATACGTACAAGGCCGAAAAAGCCCCCCCAACCCAGCCAATGAGGCTGAAAGGTGCACAGACACATGTGTCTGTTAGGAAACAGCTCATGGGTTCGGACCCAGATAGAACCAGACGGATCGTTTGAACGTGTTTTTGGAAATATAATGGAAAAGGAAAAAAAAAAAGAACCAGACGGATAGGACAGAATACTCCAGCAGGTGGAAAGGGGGCGATAGTCAGGCCACGCATGCATGGATGGCTACGTCACAGAGAGTACCGCAAAACAGACACACGAGGAAAAAAAAAAAAAAAAAAAAAAAAACAGACAGAAACAGCTTTTCGAAAAGTTTTCCCGTCAAAGGCAGAGCACTGACACTGATAGGGGGCCGTTTCAAATAGAAAAAAAAGAAAAAGAAAAAGGGGGCCGCGAGTTCCAAAACAGACAAAAAGGCAACAAGACCGAAAAGCGACATCATTTACCTCCGACTCGTATCAAGCCAGAATGCAGCAGTATCGCTCATTGTTTGTCATTGCACCACCTTTCCTATCTTGTCCGTTCTTTTTTGTCTTATATTACTGTAATATAGCGCTCGTCGGTTCTTCTACCCTTATAGCTTTCTGCTTTCATTCACAAATAAACTTCTCTGGTCGGTTTTCCCCGATTCAAGCTTCATTGATCCCCACATCCCCCCCCGAACACAACGGATCCTGGGGCAAGGTCCCACTTGCACGGATTAAGAGATTCTGGCCGTTGATCTCTGCTATCTACGGTCAATATCGCTTAATTCGTGTAAGTGGGACCTAGCCCCTGATCATGAATACGCGTCGTCTTTCCAGTCAGATACGGTCATGACGACGGTGCATCCTGCTCCGGGGTGGATGGTAGGTTTCACTGCCGCGCACTCCTCGGCTTCTCTCCTCACATTCGCCTAACAAAAAAGCCACGCCCGCGGATCACGGATTCCACATGATTCCCATCTTAACCAAAAACGACCGCCCGCCCCGACGCCCCCGCCCCCCCCTCCCCCCCCCTCACCCCGCGCGAAAAATCCTAGACAGCTTACTTCTTTCTGTACTCTGGCCATCCATGATCGACAGACGACTTTCTTCTACAATGTGGCCCGTCCATTGATATCAAATCCATCGACAGACCAACTTTCCTTTCTTATGCACAACAGGTAAGTAACTCTGCGAGTGACGATGTTCTTCCTTACCTTTACCATCGGGGGAACCACCGACTGATTCTTGTCGCACGGAGCTACCAACTGTTCTCGACCGTTCTTTCCCTCCGCATCCTTCTCTTTCGCAGCAGTCCCCGCCGCTCTCCGTTCGATGCCTCCCCCTAGCTCTCCCAACGCTTCGATGTTCACAGGCTCAGCTTCAGACGTCGTCGTACATCTGTCGATGTCCAGATCCAAAATAAGAACGGAAGCGGAATCATCATCTGACTCTAGAATGGAAGGGAGATGAATAGAGCTGCAGGAGATCGTCAGTCCGGACATGAAGTTAGCCTTTCTTCTGTCAGTGATCTCCCGTTCATCGTTTCCTGCGATGGGCGCAGCGGCATCACTGCTAGTACTCGGCACCACCTCCGTCCGTTTCATAGCCTCAGCCGAGTCACCACCCCACCCCTCTCCCATTTCCAGCGAAACCTCCCCCACGAGTAATGAGTTAACGGTAGAATCAACGCGGACTGGGTGCGAGAGCTGCTGCTCAGCCCGCGCCCAACTCCGCACACTCAGTATGTCTCCAGAAGACACCCCCACTTCATCTCCGCCGCCGTTTTCCACATGCCTTGCCGTTTTAAGGTCCTCTCTCCTTTCTGCCGTAATCGTATGGCCTCCTCCGTCGTCGGATCTCCCCGTACTGGCGGCAGGTACAGCACGTTCAGCCCCGAGTGGTTCGCCATGCTCCCTGGCTGGGCAGTTGCTTGGGAAATCGACCCCCAAGTAAGCAGCACTGCCTTCTGCAGAATGACCGATGGGAGCCTCCTCTACGACACTTTCACTCGGAACTTTAGTTGCCATGATTTGTCCACATTCCGCACAAACCGGTGACCTCACCCCCTTCTCCCCCAGCTCAACACCATCCGCGCTTCCCACGATCAGCGTATTGATGTCGTCCTTCTCGTCCGAAACCGAGGACCCTCCCGCCGCATCATCCAGCACATTGACGCCTTGAGAGCACGCGCTGACAGAATGCAGGTCCAACGAGGTTCCTCTCAACGTCACATACGCAGGCGAGTTTCCTTCGCCCTCCGATCCAATCGTAGTCGCCAGACGCTCCCCGACAAAACCCGTTTCGATGTCATAGCCCTCCACGTGTCCTCCTCCCACGTCAGGTCGGTCACACTGTGAAGAGTGCACTCGCGAGGAGGCGACAGCATCATCAACTGAAATGCCCCCCGCTCCTTGCCCGCTGATTAAGCCCGAGCCGGAGTCTCCGGCTTCAGTCCGCATGCTGCCTGCGACGACGACTCCAGTCCCGAGATGGCAACCATACACCACGTGCTGATTGCCTTGAGCCACATACCCCTGAGGCAAGTGGATCCCCGCGATGGGTGCCTGTGCCTGATGCTGACCCACGCCAGCCAGTCCAGGGGACGAAGCGGAACTGCTACCACCACTGCAATCGGCGCGCTCTGCCAAACTTGTCAAATCACCATCGCTACCCCTGGCTCCCCTTGCAATGAACGCGCCCCATGCACTATTGGGAACATCATGGCTAAGGCATCCCCCTCCTCCTCCTCTTCCTCCCCCTTGTTCGTTATATCCTCCGCCTTCCGCTGCTATTTCCGCCCCTTCCCCGTAAACTGTCAGCCCACGAGGCGCGCTAATTCCTTCCTGCATAGCCCCTCCACGAGTATAATAGCTGAGCGAGTTCTCGTCGTCGCTCCCTCCCCCTACCCCTCTGTGATTGCCCGTCAAGTAATCCGGAACCGCCAAGAACGCTTCTCTATCCTCCGGCAGTCTGAGAGGCCTCCGCACGATTGTTGCCCGCTCCGGTAGTCGTTTGAGAGGCTCTTCCCGGTTCACGTTATCGTCTCCAGGCCACGTGTGTTTCACCTCTGCGGCAATTCCCCCGCCATCCCCTTCTGGTTTGGTCCCAGCACCACCTCCACCAGCTGCTGCCGCTCCCACCCCAACCGTCGTGTCGTTATGTACTGCCATAAACCCCCCTCCCCCGGCCAGTAATACTGACGCCGCCTGGTCACCCGTCTGCTGCTCAAATAGACGTTCCTGATAATGATACATGGGCGATCCATACCGTCCACGAGGTGTCCCATGGGCACCTGACTGCTCCTGCTGATGCTGCTGCTGGAGTTGGTGTTGATTGGACAATGATGGCCCCACGAGGGGCCCGCCAAAAGCAAACGACATGTAGTCCCCGCCATCGCCGCTGTAGGCGTGGCCACGATGATCTTGTTTTTCAGGATGAACCAAACCACGGTCCGCCACTCGAGGCGCCGCTTCATAGCTCAAGGGCGACGATCCCATCTTCTGCTGATGGTGCAATCCCGCCAAGTGCTGATATCGGGGCCCATACAAACTGCCGTTGGAATCCTCAGCTAGCCTCTGGTGAGGCCCAAAGTCCCGCGGCGGGGAGGCTGACAAATACCCCTGCTGCTGCGGAACCCTGCCACACGCCGTTTGTATGGCCAGCTCCTCGCACATCATCCGCAGGTGCGGCTCGTGCTGCGGCGGCGAGCCGCGAAATGCAGGCTGCTGCTGCTGCTGCTGCTGAGGAAGCACTTGGCGAGTCGGAAACCGCGGAGAAGACGGAGCTGAACATGCAATCGTGTGCCCTCCTCCTCCTCCTCCTCCTCCTCCACCTCCCTGATGCTCAACACGATAGCCGAGCTTCGATGGCACCCCGTGAAAAGCCTGCTGCGGGACATACTGGCCTTGCAGTACGTGAGCGTAAGCCGAATGCTGCTGCGACGGTTGCTGCGGCTGATCTAAGCGAGCCGAAATCGGCTGTGGCTCTCCATGACTTTCAAGAACTCGCTGCGGCTGCTGCTGATTCTGGGGTTGATGGAAATGAAGATCACCCCTCGCAAACGGATCGGGGGGGGTTCCGCCTTGGGATGGACTGTGGACAGATATCACCCCGCCACCAACTCTCTCAGCCACCATTCCGCCATCAATTGCGACTCCTCCTGCGCCTGCCAGCTCGGACCGATTCTGCTGCTGCTGCTGCTGCTGCTGCTGCAAGTCCATCCCTCTACTCCACGCGTACAATGACTCCTGCTGTCGAGACCTCTCCACCCCAGCGAGTCCACCCCCCCCCCGTGGGGATTGCGCAGACACAAACACCTCCGCTGCCTCCGCGCGCCATGTCGCCCCCATAGTGTTAAGGTTCGAGTCCGCTGCCCCCCCCCTTCCATCTATGCGCCTGACGAGCGGCGAGGTCGGATCTTGCGGAATTTCAAAACCTTGAGCAGCTATGTGCTGGGAGGCAGGAGCGGGAACAACCATTCCGCCATCTCCAACTCCACCTCCAAGTGCACGATGGCAAGGAGAGCAACAAGCGGCATCCATCGTCAGGCCTGGAGGTTGCATCAACGCGCCATAAGGAGAACCCCCCCCGCCTTCCTGTTGTTTCTGCTCCCTGGGAGAGGAGCAATTCCCCACCGTCCGCAGGTGGCCAGCGCCAACTAAAGGCCTGTTCATGGCAGCATCACAATTAACGTCAGCTCGACCGGCGTATATCTCTGCCTCCGAACGCCCCCCTACTCCCACCACCGCTCCACCTCCTGCCTCGTCATTCCCCTGCACCCCGTTCTTGACTGCTGAGAAGGTCGCACGTGGAGAGCTTGCAGCCTGCACCGAACCCGACTGCAGTGGCTGCTGAGACCTCCCCGATCTGCCCGGAGACATCACGTGCGAGTGATACGGTGGCGACTGAATCGAGCCTGTGTGCAGCGGTGCAGACGCCGCTTGAGATGTAGGCCCAGTTAGCAACAAATACTGGGTTTTCTTGAAGTGATCGAAATTCAATAAAGCACCCAGCGGCGGCGCCCCTTTGCCAGCGTGATGGGCCACTTGATGAGTATGCTGCTGCTCTTGCTGTTGTTCGCTCTGCTGCTCCTGCTGCTGCTGCTGCTGCTGCTGCTGCTCGACGAGGAGATGAACTGCAGGGTGGTGTTGCTGCTGCGGATGGCGAGGAGATGAGGATACCAAGGGCGAGACAACAGGATGCTGCTGATAAGGCGAATGATCGTGATGGTACTGTCCTGGACCAGCAACCACTGCACCCCCTCCTCCAGCAACAGGACCTTCCATTTGTGGCTGACTAGAAGCCGCATTGCAATTGCCGGGAGCCTCCCCTACGTTAGCCAGGGCGCCGTCCAAAACAGAGCGATCCAAAGACGGTCGTACGCGAGGGGACTCCACATACCCCAGAACCTCCTTCACCTGTTGCTGTTGCTGGTTCTGGTAATGCTGAAGATGGTGATGCTGTTGACCGGCACCCCCCTCTCCCATCAGTTGGACTTGAGCTTCTACCATGTCATACGTGTGGTGATCCGCACCTCCTGCACCACCTCCGTATTCATAAGCTAATGCAGCATGAGATTGGGTAGCCCCCAGTGATGCGCCAGACACCGAAGCAGCTGGCCGAGGAGAGGGGGGATGAGCTATCAGGGCATGTGCAACGCGGCCCCTCCCCAGCGGTACCGGCGGCGCAGGCAACGGCATCAAGTCCCATTCAGACGCAGGGAAGAGGAACACTTTCAGCCTGGCGCCCGTCCTCTCCGATCGTACTTCCGCGTCGTACTCCTCCATCATATTGACCAGGTCCTCCTCGCAGGAAACCGTAACGAGGGTATCCAGACCTTCGTTCGACAATTGATACTTTAGTATCAGCGGCTGCCCGTAAAAGTCGGTGAGCTTCTTCATCAGCTCCGCATAGGACACGTCACGATTGACGGTCTGGATCCGCGTGTCGCCCCCAACGTACGTAAGCCGATTGTCCAGTCCAGTCGAGCGAATCTGTCCGCCGAAACGACACATCAGCTTCACCTTCTGCTGCAGCTGTCCCATATCCTCCCCGGACAGATTGGACGATCGCCTGTGCCAAGCAGGAGTAGGAGCAAGAGCAGGAGCAGGCATCGTCGAAGCACATGCGGCAGACGAGGCTGCGGCTGCGCATCCGAAGCCCCCTCCGCCATCGTCATCACCGTAAAACCCGCCTTCCTCGCACGAACTCCCTCCCGTTTCTTCCTTTGAACGCCACTGCGAAAGGCGGTGAAAATGCTCCGACGGGAGCCCTGCTCCCCACGCCGGACAGGACTCTTCATCCCCGCCCAAATGCCGTATCAACCGCCCTGAAAACGCCGTGTTGGCCGCACACTCCGCACGCATCATCTCTTCCATGTCGAGATCGCTCAGTACTTTATCACAAGTCAATGCGCGATCAGTGCTAGGAAGCCGCTGGATTTTCGGGGACAACTCGTGCAGCGGCTCGTATGTGAACTGCTGACCATGCAGCGGAGGATAACAACGCAAACTGGTCTTTCGCAGCTGTTTCACCTGGTGCTGCCGCTGCTGCTCTCCCTGCGTTTCCTTATCAAGAAGATTGCATACGATATCGCTCTTCTTCTCCACTAGAGCCCAGCTCTTCTCCTCGTTCCTCAGAGTCTTCCACACAAGAGGATCATGCACATTGTCAACATGGCCACCACCCAACGCAGGAGATGAAGCATCTTCAACATCGTGATCACCACCGGTCGGTGGAATGCCACCAGTCAATGGGTTTGTGGACCCCGGCGCTCGTCCTTGAGGTAAGCACATGTGAAGGCTTCTCCCGTTTTCAGCGCCTCCCATTTTCATCATTCTTCCTGCTCGTGCTTCGTGCGAACTAGGTAGGTTGCCCAACACGAGACAGTCCTTCGCCATGCCCTGATCACATTCACCATTTTCCCCGCAATGCCGCTGCCGCTCGGATCGCGCTCTCCGGACGACGCAAATCTGCGTCCCTAAGCGAATCTCCGTCTACGTGTCCTCCTAGGCAACTTCGCCACGGTCACACTAGATGTAAATTCCTCCCAGTTTCCCCGCCTCCCCTGTTCACACTAGAATGCAGCTCCACCCAATTTTCCCGGAAATGCCCCGGGCTTTCGAGATGCCGCGCCCTCGCGATAGGGGAATGGCAGGGGCTGCGAGGGTCGGTCGGGAAATTTGACGGCAAATATCCGATGACGGCGCATGCAGGTAACAGGCGTCCGGCCCTCGACAGTTTCCCGAACGACCGAAGATCCGTCCTGAAGGACCTGGCCGAGGTGATTGATGCTATTTTCGCGCCACGAGAGGACGAAGGGCCCCGCCACACCACTCTCGTCTCGAAATGTGAAGAAGAAAAGAAAATGTGGCGGGCGCATCTGGCCATGTTCGAGCGGGAAGTTCATTCTCATTTTTTTGCACGTTTCGAGAGTGTTGTGGCGATGCCCGAAGCTGGTGATGATTCTTTTTCGAGTTCGCGCTAACTAGCTCGAACACTACCGCCGATGGGCTAGCGCGAGGGCGCGGGCGTTTCAGCGGTCTCGCAGGCATTTCACCGGTTTCGCACGCGTTTTTTTTTTGTTTTTTTTTTTGGGAAAGCATTACAAGTTTCGCACGCGTTTCGGCGCGGAGGGACGGAGGAACGGAGGGTTGAACTGGTGACACGAGCAATAATACCGGACTTGGCGCGCCGTGGCAAATGGCGCAGGGCGTACTCAACAGCAATTTTTCTGTTAAGCTGTGGACGGGATTGTTGTCAGATTCGTCCAACTCTGGATGTAAATGCAGTCAGATACGTTTAGGGAAGTGCTATGCCGTCAGTTTTTTTTTTTTCCTTTTTGGGTATGCCCTCAGTTTGGGAGGCGGGCCGTGCTACCTGAGGGCCACTCCCCAACAATTGAGGTCGCCTCTCTCCATGTTGTGTCTTCAGGATATTCAGGATATTAACTTACCGTGAGGGCAGGGTGTGCAGCCCGCAGTTTGTTTGTTGATGTGGTCTGCAGCCTGTAGTTCGTTTGTTGATGTGGTTGGGGAAGGGCAAGGTAGTGATTATGCAGTGTTTACGGTTTGTCATGTCCGCTATACACAACTCCAAGAGTGCGTGGGGGGGGTCCCGGCTGGTGCTTTATTCCCACGTTCATGGGAGGCTGGATCCGGTTTCCAGCAGGTGCTGAAACCCACCAATAGACAGGAGCATTCTGTCACAAGATCCGGTTTCCAGCAGGTGCTGCAACCCACCAATAGACAGGAGCATTCTGTCACGAAGTCCACTATAGGGGGATGCATATCATCTCCTCTAGTCGGCTGAAGTGGAAATTTCTGGGGCCACAAAAAAAAAAAGGAGTGTGTGTGAGTGAGTGAGTGTGTGTGTGTGTGTGTGTGTGTGTGTGTGTGTGTGTGTGTGTGTGAGAGAGAGAGAGAGAGAGCCCTGCAGCATGCAGCATGTCAGTGGCAGGGAGCACAAGGCCAGGTGCTAACCTCAAAAAAAAAAGAAAGGTAATGTTCTATTCGAATACATGAGTTTTGCTTTTCGAAATTCAAATAGAAAAGACATGGGTTGTATTCAAATACGATGCGTACACGATCTATTCAAAGTGCCCTTCTATTCGAGAAAAGTGGCCCCACACTATTTCGATTTTGAAATTTTCAACTCAAGGACCGCAGCCTCCTCGGCCTCCTACGGACAGCTACCGGTCGGTCTATTTGAAGTGCCCTTCTATTCGCAAAAAGTGGACCCAGGCCGTTTCAATTTTGAAATGTTCAACTTAAGGACCTCGGCCTCCTCGGCTTCCTACGGGCAGCTGTTGGTCCTCCGCAAGCAACAACTGCCCGTTCCCCATGAATTGCCCCCCCAACATATTGACCACCCTTCTAACTACCATTTGGAGCCCGGAGTTTGTACGTTCATGTGGTTGGGGGAGGTTAAATCACCAGTCCACGCAAACCTAAGTAGCCATTTGGAACATCCGTGAAAGGTGGAACGATACACAGAAGATTAGCATAGGCGTTGTGAAAGGATGACACACGTAAATTGAGATATGGTGTAAAAGGGAAAAAAAAAGGTAGTGCCCATGCTTATATTCGCGGGAAGAACACTTGGCTTCATGCCTACGCTGGCAGCGAAAGTGGCAGGCCGCTTTGAAAAGTTGTAACGTGGACCCACGAGAGCAAGCAAACCATTCCAGTTGGTTGGCACCAACATGCCTAAGGTGGTCATCGGGGATTGAACCCAAGACCCCTGAATACCACTTGTGTACCTAACCACACATGCCCATACATGTACACACATACACAAGCTGACAGACATACACACACACACAAAATGTGAGAGACTGAGAATGTGTGTATGTGTGTATGTATGTACGTGTGTCGTGTGTGTGTGAGAGACAGCGAGAGACAGAGCAATCACCAATAAATGGAGGGGTCATATATGAAGACAAACCACTTGCACCCACGAGGACATTGTTTTTACTATGTTTTTTTTTTTTACAAAAAGAAAAAAAAGGTACACACGAGGAAGAAAATTTCATTTTTTATAACACTAGACTCACTAGTACCTTTCCTAACTATTTTACTGATGCGCGCCGAGTAACGCGAGGAGGCCGGCAAGTTTCAACGTTACCGGGCCAAAATGGTTGGCTACGCCAACCAAAATAAGTCCGCATTAGTTCGTTTTTTTCAACACGCAACGCGATTTTTGCTCGACATCTATAGCTCAGAAATGATGGTTTTATGCTTATGTTTGGGACATATAAACCTTTCACACAATTTCAACTTATAATTGAAAAACAAAAGGAATCGAAATCAATGGAGGAACATGGGCGGCGCACTGAAAGTTCAGAAAGGGAAGAAACATAAATGGAGGAGGAAGAGTAGAGAACGAGGAACATTTGAGCAAGGAAGAGGAGGGAGAGAAAGAGGGGGCGAGTGTCAAAAAAAATGAAGTCATTGGAGTGGTGAGGTTGAGAAGACAGACTACTTGTTAGTTACTTGCTTGTTGTTTTTTTGGTACTACGTAGTTACTCCTAAGTTACTCCTAAACTACTTCCTAACTATTTGTTATAGACTAGTTATCTACTTAATTTTAAATATATTAGTTATTTGCTAGTTAATTACTTGCTTTAATTACTTCTTAATTAGTCCCAGCTATTCCATATTATGAACTATTTTGTATGCTAAGTGAGGGCGGAGCAATACTGTTCGCACAGGGAGGACAAACAAGGTTTATGGTATATGAGGTAACAATGACAGAAGTATATGCGCAACGGCGGCGATCAGCCCGTAATCTCAAAGCATTCATCGTCTATCAAGACAATATAAATCGGGTTCGGATGCGGTGAGGAAACCAGAGTAGGGCAGCATACTAGTACAAATCAGCATACAGTCTGGTCGATGCTTTGTTTGCATGGGCCTCTAATCACACGTTGGTCCTCATGGTGTGAGTAATAGTAATCAATACACAATTGGTGCTGAAATCAAAGCAGATTCATGCTATTAGCAAGTGACAACACATGCGCTTTCTTCAACAGAAGACGTTAGTAGCACGACGTTGGCGATTTATAGTTAGTGTGTGAGTGGGGGGGGAAGAGGGGGGGAAGAGAGAGAGAGAGAGAGAGAGAGAGAGAGAGAGAGA